TCCTGGTTTCGAAAATGTCCGATTTGATTTGAAAAGCGTCCGTTTCAAAACGGAAATGGTATACAAACAAAATAAAGGTGTGATGCGAAGAGATACTTCCAACTTGCACCTCGTGACGCTACCGCGCACCTGGTCCATTGGTCATATTGTAGTTGTAGTCTCGTTAATTGAGAATTCTATCACCTCAAGATCAGGTGACTGCAGTTCAGCTCATATGGGATGATAGGGTACAATGAGTTACTCGTTAGTTGATGCCTGCAAGGCGCTACTGAGAATCTAAAATTTGTTCAAGTGCTGACGGCTTCAACAGCATCCCAGTATCCTAGAAGGAGTGTGATTACGTTTGCCTTTCTTTTCTTGAATACACTGATATTTCAGGCTCATTTTCTCGGGACGAACGGGATACCGAAGTTGTTGAACATTCTCAAGAAATGTCTGTATGAAAATTGTTTGTGGAGAACTACCCGTTTGCTGACAGTATTTTCTAATTTTGTGAGTATAACATTTGCTAGTGAAGTAGTAAATTAAAATTAGGGTAGAGTAGGCAATTAGCTGAGCGTAGTCGTTATGAGAACTCAAACCCGATTCATGAATAATCTTTGGATTCCCACTCTGAATCAGAAGCTGGTAGCGCCTCCAGTCAAGATGCTTACCGTATTTGCTCCCTGACTATTACACATCTTGCGGATTTGGAGTTGACCGCATCAATACGCCCCCTCCCCGTTCCAACCAAAAATAACGATCCTCACAAGGTGCTGCGGTCGCATTAAGTGCACCACGTATGCATGCGCTGGAGCGCATTATTTTACGGGTTCGGCCTAAAATTGCCGATGCTGTATTTATTTAAATCACCACAGCTTTCTGACAGAACTATTACTGGGAAACGGAGACAGTGCCGCGAAGTGCTCTGGTTGATGTATCAGATATCATTAAAAATGTAAATATTATTGAACACTTGAATTAATTCAAAAAATACGCGCCGAGCCAAGTTTCCATCTCTCTGCTTTGACGCTCTGCTTGGATCACAATAATTCTTCATACTCACTGATTTGCGAAGTCAAGCCA